ACGCCCCATGCGCCGCCGGCGCCGGCGCGGGCGGGCCCTGCGCCGCCCCCGGCACTGAGGGGCCCGGGCCGCCCCAAATCGACCTGGCTGCAGCGCCAAGGACACTTTGAACCTGAACTTGAGGAAAGTTCGCCGCTGGGCCGAGCGGGCAGCGCGGGCGAGATTGCCGGGCGATCTCTCGATCACATGCCCAAAGCGTCGAAAATGGCCAGTCATGCGCGCGAGCTGCGCAGAGCTGGCCCGGCAGGCCACGTCGCAGCGCTGCAGGGCCACGGTCAGCAGCGCGCGGAATGCCCCGACCGCGCGCGAGAGGAGGAAGCCGAAGCCCCCGTCACACGTCGCCAATCAGGAGCTGACTGGCTCGTTTCGCGCGGTCGCTAAGGGCGCCAAAACGGGCAAGAATGTTGCCCGCGCGCCCCCGCGGCAGTCGGTTGGAGTTCATCGGAGCCGACGCCGCCGAAGCGCGCCCCTCATCGCCCAGTTGGGCCCGCGTTCGGCCAGACAGCGCATCGGGGAGGTAATCAGTGGCACCGGGGCGCCGTTGACGCGACCTCCCCGGATCAGGACAGCCGGCGGCCACTCGCCGCGCATTCTGGTACGGCGAGATGAGACGCAGGCCGCCCGGCGAAACTCGTTCGGGCCCGAGTTCGCCACTGACCGGATCATCACATCCCGCGCCCCTCGCCGGAAGGGAACCCGAGATTGCCGCACGGGCCCCCAGGCGCGGAGGCGTCGCAGGTTGCCGCCGCCGCTTCCTGCGCCCACGCAGGTTAGGTAGCTGGCCGCGGCATGCAGGCCCGCCCCGGTGGCATCCCACCTGGGGCGAAGATTCCCGAATGGGCCCAGGGGGCGCTGGGGGCGGGGGGGCCACCGACGGCGTTGGTCGGACCTTGGGCCGCGGAGCCGTCTTGGGCCCCCGCCTCGCATGCGTTCCTCTTCGTCAGCGCTTCAAGGTGCCTCCTAGATGGGGTCGAAGTAGATGGGGTCGGAAGACGGCGCCACATCGCCGACGCCTCCGCATTTCATCGGCGATGCATCCGCGATGCGTCGGCGACATCAACGCTTTTGTCGGCGGCGCCAGCGCGGAGGAAATCGGCGCCCACATAGATCCGCGACGCCGGCGCATCGACGACGTGTCGGCGCTGCGGCGCGATCCTCCGACCATCTGGAAGGCCTAGAGCGTTGGGCCTAGCTTTCTGTCGCGTCGTTGTGGTGGTCACCGCGCCCGGGACATCCCACAACAAAGTTGCGGGCATGCCATCCGCGCGTCGCGTCGGCATGACGTGCACAGCACTCAAGACATCCCAGGCCCACAACATAGCTGTGGGAAAGCCATTCGTCGTCGTATCACCACTGGACTAAAAAGCACCAACTGCACGATCGTCTAGAAGAGTGCGCATCGGGATCTTGCCCTGTCGGACTGAAGGAAACCGGCGGGTGTGGCGATATGCCATATCCTAACACATCGCCAACATATAAGGCCAGAACAACGCATTGAATTGTCCATTAGAGAGCAGACAACATAGTCGTCAGACACTCCACTGCGTCCTCAATGCTGTCCAAACTCTTATCCACCTGCGCTTTTTGGGGCTCTCGCCACATAGTTGCGAACAGCTCGGGCCCACTGACTAGGCTGTCGATGTGAGCGATGTGCCGATGGTCAGGTTACCATATGCTACCGAACCTCCTTTCGTAGGTGTGTTTATCGACGAAGACAGCGATGCGACCATAAGTCGAGTACGCCCAGGAAGAAAGGCAGGCAGCGGCGGCGCGGCGCCGCGGTCCTTGGTGTTCTTGATGTGGGGTTTGTTCAAGTCGTAGATCTTGTACTGGTCGTACTCGGTCTGGTACTGCGTCCGTAATCCATCATGGCGGAAACGAGGTGGATGAACACGAAGAAAGAGATGAGGGATGCCGGCGGCGTCGCGCCATGGCAGGGTGGAGATGCCGCGCGGGCCATGGCGGCGACGGGTAGTGGAAGGGAGCACGAGCTCCGATACCAACTAGAAAGCGACATGTGCGATGAGCGGATGCGTCTGTCCTGAGCGGACAGGTGAACACGGGTGTGACTAAAGCGAGGCTAACACGGGGCTAACACGGGCACGGAAGCTGGCCAGCTCCCGTAACCCGAGCCAAATTGCAACGGATGGGAGGGAAGAACATTAGACAGCACAGAGAACAAGGATACGTAAGGAACCTACCGTTCGAGTGCAACGACGGCGAAGACGACGACGAGGACGAGGACGCCGACGACGACGACAACGACGACGACGACGACGCTGGCGCTGCCGACGACGACAATGACGACGACGAAGACGACAAAGACGACGACGACAACAACGACGACGCCGACGCCGACGACGCCGAATGTGACGACGCCGACGACGACGACATCGACGGCGACGGCGACGAGGACGAGGACAAGGACGAGGACGCCGACGACCACGACGACGACGAGGACGACGACGGCGACGCCGACTACGAAGACGCCGACGCCGACGCAGACGCCGATGCCGACGACTACGACGACGACGACAACGCCGGCGACGACGACGACGGCGAGGACGACGACGAGCACAAGGACGCCGACGACGACGACGACGACGACGACGACGCCATCACCACCACCGTCGCCGCCGCCGACGACCACGACGACGAAGACAAAGACGAGGACGAGGACGAGGACGAGGACGAGGACGACGACGACGACAACGAGAACGCTGACGTGACGACGACGACACAAACGACGACAACAGCGACGACAACGACGACGACAAGCTCGAGGACAATAACGACGATGACGACGCCCACGACGACGCCATCGACGGCGACGACGACGACGACGACGACGACGGCGACGACGGCGACCGACGAAGACAACGACGACGACGACGACGACGACGACGACGACGACGGCGGTGACGACGACGACGAGAACGAGGACAAGGACTAGGACGAGGACGCCGACGACGACGACGGCGGCGACAAGGGCAAACGACGAAGACGACGACGACGATGGCGGCGGCGACGACGGCGGGGAGGACGACGACGACAACGACGACACGACGACGACAACGAAGACGACGAGGACGGCGACGACGACGACGCCGACGACGACGCCATCGACAACGACGACGCTGACGACGACGACAGCGACGACGACGACGACGACGACGACGGCGAGGACGACGACGACGACGACGACCACGACGACGGCGAGGCTGACGCCGAGAACAACGACGACGACGACGAGGAGCTCGAGGACGACGACATCGACGACGTCGACGACGACGTCGACGACGAGGACGACGACGACAGCGACGACGACGGCGGCGACGGCGAGGAAGGGGACCGAGACGAGGACAAGGACGCCAATGACGACGACGACGAGGACGACGACAACGACGACGACGACGTCGGCGATGACGACGGCGACGACGACGACAACAACGACGACGAGAAACCCGACGACGACAACGACGATGATGATTACTTCGGCGGCGGCGGCGGCGGCGGCGACACGACGAAGACGACGACGAGACAAACGACGACGACGACGACGAGGAGGAGGACGACGACGACGACGACGCTGACGACGCCGACGCCGACGCTGACGACGCCGACGCCGACGCCGACGCCGACGCCGACGCCGACGCCGACGACAACGACGACGACGACGAGAGCGACGACGGCGATGACACGTTGCCGTGTTTGAGGATGCTCCAAACCAGTCTACGGCTCTCCAGACACCTCTGAAAGCCTCCACGAACGTCCTCTCGTCTGAGCGCCCTCTTCCTCCTCCTTCCGCTCCCTACTCCCTCCTTCTCCTTCCCCGCCTCCACCCTCCTCCTCCTACTTCCTCCATTCCCTCCATGTCTCCTCCCTCCTCCCTCCATCCATTCCTCCTCCTACACCTTCTCCCCACCCCCCTGCTCCGCAAACTGAGCGCACTGGGGAGTGGTGAGAAGGGGGTGGGATGAAGGAGGCACAATGGCGCATAGAGAGAGAGAGAGAGAGAAACAAAACAAAAAATAGGGAGGGAGGGAGGAAGGCGGGAGGCGGGAGGCGGGAGGAAGGAGGAAAATGGAAGGGAAGGAGGTAGGATGGAGGGGAAGGGCGATGAAGACGAATGAGGGGGAAGGTAACGAGGACAAGGCAATGGAAGAGGAGGACGGACCGAGAGAACAGGGTGATCGAGTCGGAGGAGGGAACGAAGACGCCGAAGACGAGGACAAAGACAATCGAAAACAGATCTACCGAAAGAACTCGTCAACTGACCTCACCGGCACAATGGCGTGCAAGTGTCACTTCCCTGAGAGCTAAACAGCCAAACCCCGACGTCGTGTTTAATTCATTACGTGGATCCTCAAAGGTCTCGACCTATTCCCAGTGGATCCTCAAAGGCCTCGACCCATTCATCCGCATCAGGCTCGGACTGTTGGGGATCGCGTATCGGGCTCGACCCCGGCAGGCCAGAGAGTGAATCGGCTCGTGTCGGCTCGGATCGAAATCGGAACCCAAATTTGAGGATCCGATCGGATAGCCTGAGAGGTCCTGAGGGAAACGGGCCCTGGACCAGCGGGCTCTCTCCCCAGCACTGGCCAACTCATCCTGAGTCGTTGGGACACGGACCGTGGGGAGGGCACCAACAAAAGCGAACGGTTGCTCTCCGTGGTGAGGGGTAGGTTTGGAGGCCTCCCGGGTTGGGTCAGAGTAGATGGGGTCGGGGGATCGCGCCGCATCCCCGATGCATGGAGGCCATCGACTTGGAGAATACCAAGCTCCACATCGCACCGCATCGCCGACGCGTCGGCGACGCGGCGCGATCCTCCAACCCGATCCACCAGGACCCCATTGGGAGGCGTCCTGCTTCCTTTCCTCCTCCTCCTCCTCCTCCTCCTCCTCCACCCTGCTCACCACGCAGAAGGGGGATAGGCCGCTCGGCATCCGACCTCTTCCACACCATCGCGCGGCGGCGCGGCGCGGCGCGCGAGAGGCACCTCCGGTGCGAGAAGCTGCGCATGGGCAGGAGAGCCTTCGGCGGCGCCATGCGGGGGAGGGGGCGGCATGTCGTGGCCGCCGCGGCCCCTCTGTCGGCGGCGAGCCCAGGGGGACCTCGGAAGGCCTCCAGCATTCTCAAGAGTTTTCTGAGCCTTCTCCGGAGATAGAGACGGCTTCTCAGAGAGGCCCGCCGCCTTCAAAGAAGGCCCGCCACTTCTCACTTCCTCCCCCCTGGGCTCGCCGCTGACTCCGTTTTGAGGCGGCAGGCTCTGCGTTTTTTTTGAGTGGATGAGCGGGAGCGGACACAACAGCACGACGACAGGCTCGGCGGCGCAATTGCGAAGCCATCAAGCTACCTCAAACGCCGTGCCCACGGGAGGAAAAGAAACGTCCAGCCACCTGGAATGGATGCCCTGCCAGCGATGGCTTGTATGTAAGCGGGCATGTTGCGGCAGCAGGCTCAAAATTGAGGGGAAGAAGCGAGGGAAAATGCTTACACCCAGGCGGTAGGGGCTCACTGCAAAGAGGGCCCCCGGGGTGCACAAGCTTTTTCCGAGGGCAGCTCCAAGCATGAAGATGCCATACCCTCAAATCCGCATTTGTCACACTGGGCGTTTTCGCCCAGTTCCGGGCCCGGAAGGCATCACAGGTCGATACGGCTCGAAAGATGCTGCAGAAAGATGGAGTCGAGGGCCATGGTCGAGAGTTTTCGCAATGTTGCAGTTTTGCTGCCACGTCGGATATCAGGGTGGCATACGATAGACAGGACGCGAAGGCATCCCGCATGCTGCAAGGTCGACCTGCTGACAAGACCCGACTGTGTAAATGCATGCGTGCACGCACCAGTACGCATGCGGCGTGTGCGCTACGGCGTGGCATGAAGCGGTATGCCACCGCATGCCATGCCATCGCCCACTACTGCACCGCACACGGCGGCATTGCGTGAGGACGGCAAACAATTTCATGTGCAACCATGCGCTCACATGGCTACACACATAGTCCCTGGCATGACTGAACGCAAAACGCGTGCGAGTGCGTGCGCGCACGCCTTCCAAGTGCACCCCCTCCTCCCGTCAGCGCTAATCGTCCTCCCCCTGGATATCCTCGTTCTCATCCTCCTTATCATCCTCCTCCTCCAAATTATCATTATCGCTGTCCTTTCCTGCATACACACACGTACCCACACACACACACACACACTCGTACACACACACACACACACACTCGTCCACGCTTCGCCCTAGTTTTTCTATCCTCGTCTAGAGCGCGATCACCCCAACTCACCCTCCACGAACAGACGCAACAGAAACACACATACCTACCTACGCGTGGGGCCCGAACGATCAGAAAAGGCTGATAGGGCATCTGAGGCTGGGACCCTATTTGGGGAAACCAAGAGGTACCGATACCGCTACTCCCTGGACCTCTCCCGGGGTGCGTCCTGACCAGAATTCCGAGGCGAATCCAGAGGCGGCGACGAAGGCCTCCCAGGAGGCCCAAAAAGGAAAAACGAGGCAAGGGTAGCGGTATGGGTGCCTTTCCCTGCTCTGACGATTCGCGGAACCTCCTGGCCGCCACACGGGAGCACCTGGGTCAGGGCCCAGTGAGCAGGGCCCTGCGGTCATCCACCACGAAACGCGACTGCTAAGGCTGCATGCAGGGCCGCAGCCACGCGAGCAGGACCCTCATGCCAACCACCACAAAGCCCAACACACAGGGGCAACTACGGTCAGCCTGTAGAATAAGGACGCACGATAAGGATGCAAGAGCCTTGGAAGGCCATGTCGACACTTTGCGGGCGAGGCGCGGCCAGCGAAAGCGGCGAGGGATGGGTCGAAGGGGCAAGGATGCAAGGGTAACCTTGGAAAGTCGCCCATTCTGACTACGTGTGCGGGTTCACTGTAGTACGAAAGGCGGCCTGTGACCAACCTTCACGAAAACCGACGCGCAGTGGCATCTGAGGCCGTGCCCCTACGGACAGAAACATGTGGCAAACCTCGATGACAGCCTGACACCACGAGCCACCCCTGCACCAGCCAAACAGGCCTCGCACCGCGGGGCATTGCTTGGGGATTCTCGGCAGCCCCGCAGGGTCAACGGCGCTGGAGAAAACACACACCTGCGTGCACCGCCGGCATACGTCCATATCCACCGTGTTCCGAGGACTCGGAGAGCGGTGGATATTTATAGCTGCCCGCCCGCGCGGGCGGGCAGATATCCATATCCACCACTCCTCGAGATCTCAGAGCACGAGTCGGAAGCGGTGAATGCAACCTTACGTCGAGCACGGAACTATCCTGCGTCTGGTCATCAGCTCGGGACATCACCGACCCACTGGACCCCCGCGAACACGGGGCGCCATGGGCAGGACCCCCAAGAAACCCCAAGAGGCCCGCACAAGCACCTCCTCGCCGTCCTCCTCCTCCTCCTCCTCCACCTCCTCCTCCTCCTCCTCCTCTTCCTCCTCCTCCTCCTCCTTCTCCTCCTCCTCCTCCTCCTCCGCCTCCGCATCCGCCTCCGCCTCCTCCTCATCTTCCTCCTCCTCCACCGCCTCCCCCAGACTCGCTGGAGTTGTCGTCGAAGCGCCAGGGGTCCCAGCTTTCGGTCTGGTGAGCGCTTATTTTCAGGCATCCTCGGGTCTCAATGATACCAATTGAAATATGCTGGCCACCATCGGCCAGACCCAAGATCTAGCAGGCAAGCCTCTCATTGTTGCAGGTGGTTTCAACTTGCAGCCAGAGAGGCTTCAGCAGGGCACGGATTTCCTCACGCATGCCACGATGAAGGTAGCGGCGCCCAGAGCCGCCACCTACCGCACTAAGAAGACGAAGTCGACCCACGATGTCTTTATCCACAGCCAGGCCTTGGAGCCCTGGCTGGAAACTCCCTGTACCTTGACCTCCTACCCCTTGGCTTCCCACCGCCCTGTTACCATGGCCCTGCGCGTGTGCAGGACAATTTCAAGATACCGGCGCTCCTCAGGCCCCAGAAGCTCCCCACGAGGACGCCCATTGGACCTCAGCTCCCGTCGGTCAGCTGGCACCAGACAGCTGCAGTGATAGAGTATGTTATCCAACTTATCGGAGATGCCTCGCAGCCCCTCTCCGACCAGCAGCGCTCCACCATCCTGGACCACGTGTACTTCACCCCCGTCCAGGACCTTGAGCCCCCTCTCAGACCCATCAAGACTCCCAGGGCTCCACCCTCCCCAGATCCAGATGGTCTCGGCGAGTGCGAAGCGCTCCCAGGGGCGCAAGTGCTGGACGGCCTACTCCAGGCCTCTTCGTTGACTCCAAAATCAGCTGCAAGATTTTCGACGCAGCATCCAGGATGAGGATATCCAGGATTTCTGGGGCACCCTGGACAGTATGGAAGACAGCCCTGAAAGTCTTAACACCTCTCCTGCCCTTGCTCAAGGGCTGCAGGAAGTCCGCGTTGCCGCAGGACTGTTGCATGAGGATTTACAAGCGCAGAGGCTCAACACAGAGTTGGGCATCACGATTTTAGATGAGCTGCCCAACCAGGTCGGCAAGATCATCGATGCTGAACATGCCACCGAGCGCAGTAAGGACGGGCAGGAGTGGAGGGATTGGGTGCAGTCTTCCATGAAAGGAGGTATGGGATGGGCGCACAGGTGGACGAAGAAGCTCGAAGCTTGGACGCCTGTTTCGGTTGTGCATCGCTAGCTGTTTTCTGGACGCCCGCATCACATCCTCCAGGTCGAAGCCGACCAACTCGCCAAGATTTGGGATGTCCACACTGAGGTTCCCCCGCAATGGGTTCCCCAGACCGACGACAGGTTGGCCCTTGGACCCATCACCCCAGCTCGCCTTCGAAAGGTATCCAGAAGCTTTCCACACAGTGCGGCCTCAACTTGGGACGGAGTGCGCCCACGCCACTTCGCCATGCTCGATGACGAGCAAGCCGAGCTAGTTTGTAAGAGGATTGAGCTTATCGAACAGATTGGACACATGCCATCGCAGCTGCAGGGTGCTATATCTACGCTTATGCTCACATTAAAGCAACAGGATGATATTAATGCCCAACCCGCCTTTCGGTCGATTGGCATGCTCCCTGCGCTTTATCGCGTCTGGGCCCGACTGCGGAGATCAGCAGCCCGAGCGTGGGAATTTCACCACAGACGACCAAACGTTGCACGTCGTGCGGGACATTCAATTGTGGAACTTGAATAGGCACAGTCACTTGAATGTGAATATCATGCGTGTCAAGAGGAACCCCGACATTCCGCTCAAGTGTTATGAGACCTCTCAAACTACTACAAGCATATAGATCGCGAGTGCATTGCCCAGCGCGCTGTCGCCTCCTGCTCCGCATCATTCCCTCTCAATATGGAAGTAAGCGTGGAGGGGTTTGATTGCAGGGTGCGGGTGGGCGACGTATCTTGTGCAAATGTACGTTCTCGCCCCCCACGACCAGTGGGCAGCCGCGCACAGCTACATTCGCCTCGCGATGTTTATCGACGATTTACTGCTGGAGTGCCATGCTAGGAGCTACGAAGGAGCGATCAATCCAGTGAATGTGGCTGCTCGGTCGCTAGCCAGATGCATCAAGCACGAGCTGAAGTGCCAGATCGCTACCAAGAGGAGCCAGGTTTCAGCCTCCAGCCAGGACCTCCAAAACAAGCTTCGGAAGCCCCCCGGGACGCTCGCTGGGCCCTCCGCGGACATCCCAGATCCCAACCTCGGCATGGAAAGCGGGGCTGGACGGCCCCAAAGGCGTCGGCGAAAAGGACGCAAGCTTGTCGGGGGCATCAACAAGATCAAGAAGCGCATGGCCCGTATCAAAATGATCAAACCTGCCGGAGGAAACGGTGAGAAATTGCACAAGACCGGCCTCGCAGCGGCCACCACGTTCGGAGTTGAGGTCACGGGCATCAACAACGCGATGCTCGCGCAGGCCCAAACTCAATATTTAGCTGCAGCAGGCCCCAGGTGCGCCTCGAGGGGCCGTGCTCTCTCGCTCCTCACCCTCCAGGATCCCCTGTGGAAAGCGTGCCTCGGGCCCGCGCATATG